GGTATGCTTCTTCATCCAGCTTCATGAGGATCAAATCGCGCTTCTTCTGATCCGAAAGTTGGGAGTCTCGAATGACCGGTCCGTACCTGCCATACCAGTAAGCAAAGGTGTTACCTGTATCTTCGTCTGAGACGAATCTTTGCACGTCTTTGCTCAGCTGATCGTACTGATCCTTGCTGACGTCCTGGACGGCTACCCTTTGGCTGCTGGTCAAAGCAATGACCAACGCCTTCATTTGCTCCTGTTGTGCCTGCGACTGCATTTGCATTTGCTCCTGCAGAGCTTGCGTCTGCATTTGCATTTGCTCTTGTTGAGCTTTCCATTGTGCTTGCATATGCTCCTGTTGAGCTTGTAGTCGGGCCTGCATCTGTTCCTGTTGAAGCTGCATATGCAGCTTCATCTCCTCCTGTTGGAGCCGCATCTGGTCGACCATGACCGATAGGACCTTTTCCAGAGATTCGCCATGCCGCTCTTCACTGGCTTTCGGCATGGTAGACCTCTCTGGTGTCGACGAAGTCTTCTGCTAAATCGATGCTTCTCAGCAAAGCTTACTTGTCTGGCTGTCCTCGACCACTGGCAGCTTCTTCCTTGATTCGAGCTGCAGCGCTTCTTCTCCTTGGTCGGTGGAGGCTTCCGTCCTTATCGATCGAGCTTCTTCTGGTCCTTGTCGATCGAGCTTCTTCTAATCCTTGTCGATCGAGCTTCTTCTGGTCCTCGTCGGTCGAGCTTCTTCTGGTCCTTGGTCGGTGGAGGCTTCTTGTCCTTGATCCTGATCGCCAGTTGTAGTAGAACGCGTTGAGTCGTTGACGATTTATTAGAAAAACACAAGAGTTCCCCCTCTGCCTATCGGCGTACATACCGAGGGTTCACTAGAAATAGCTCAGGAACAACACACAAAATATATCAAAGTGCGGCGGGTACGCCGCAACCACAGAGACCATATCGACCTAGCCTATAGTGAGCGAGCAAGTTCCAACATAAGGGACGGCTCTACAACATTTTATAAGGCTATTTTGATTTTTTAAAAATTTTAAAAATTATTTTAATTGTTTGCAAAAATAAACAAGTCGTTTGCACATTTTTATAACCCATATAAGTAAGTTTCAAAAACTTCGCGACCCATTCCCGGGGGGGGGGAGGCGCGCCCCCCCCCCCTCGGTCCGCCACTGCTAGATTCTATGCAAAAGAAAGCTCATGGAGAGAGTTTATTTTAAGATAGTAGTCATTTTACCCAAATTCAAGCCTTGACACACATGGTGTGTCAATCGGTCCCACGCGGTAGTCATTGCTTGACACACCATGTGTGTCAATCAGTCGTCAGTACCCTATTTTCAGGTGTATAAACCGCACCCTTTTCACTCTAAAGGCGAACACGCCAAAAGACTGGCTTTCATCATGGAGCGCGTTAAGTGAAAGCAGTATGCGATAAGGCGACCGCTTCGCGAGACATATGCGCGGCGACACGCCTGGGTCTGCTCGCGTTTAGAGCAAAAAGGATGCGGCTTATACACCTGAAAATAGGGTAATTAAAAGAGCGCTTTAAAGGCACTTCCTTATTAAGATTAAGGTAGTGGGGGTTTCCACATACTCCGTTAGAGGACCCGCTGGACAGGCAACCGCTGCAAGCCCGACTCGATCCAGGCCTTTCTACGCCCAAAAATTTGCCCTCAAAGTGGCCCGCAAAGCGCGATTTGGCCCCACGGCCGACGCTCCCGGTTTCCCCCTTACGCTTCTCAATATCTCCCTCTCTCCACTTAGCGAACTCCTCCATAATGTTGCTGCCAATGTGGCGAAGGCTAGGCTGAGCAAGCGCAACTCTCCGCGTTGCTTTCAAAGAGCGGGTTTTGCATTTTATGCTTTGGACCCGCACTGAGTTGAACAAGGGCGAAAATGTTTGCAGTATGCAAAATATTGACATCCAAGTTTTGGTGAGCATTGCCTTTAATTGCAGAATTCTAGCAAACTATTAGGTTGCCTCAAAGTTCTGGGTTATTTTTAGACGAGATCTGCTATTTCTCGAAACTTAATGCATGTACATCCGGCAGAGGTACCATTCGATAGAGCAAAGTAAGCTCTACAAGAAAGTATGCAAAAGTTCGCACCAACTTCGACCCAGCGTAAGTTTGCATCCAGAATCTGAGTAGTACTAAAAGCTCGAAAATTGGGAAAAATTCATATCTTCGTTCAAATAAAACTACGGATCTTCAAGTTGCTGATGCAGATGCACACCACATCAGAAACCCATATGTATCATTGCTGTATTTTTTTTTTCAGAAATCGAGAAAACGTAAATTTTCATGTTTGTACAAAAACGAAGCTACGCTGTTCCCATTCATGTGATTATATAGTACAAGTTTTGCATAACCGTAGATTTTCAGCTTTCTACGGGCCGTAGTCGAAAAATATTGATTTTAGAATGGAACACCCGAGTGAGGAGAGTTCAATTCGGTACTTTTCGGAAACTAGGGCCTGGAGAAAGCTAAAAATTTACGGTTATACTTCTAAGTGCTTGTACTATATAATCACATGAATGGGAACAGCGTAGCTTCGTTTTTGTACAAACATGAAACTTTACGTTTTCTCGATTTCTGGAAAAAATACAGCAATGATACATATGGGTTTTTGATGTGGTGTGTAATCTGCATGAGCAAGTTGAAGACCGTAGGATTTATTTGAACGAAGATATGAATTCTTCCCAATTTTCGAGCCTTCAGTACTACTTGAATTCTGGATGCAAACTTACGCTGGGTCGAGGTTGGTGCGAACTTTTGCATACCTTCTTGTAGAGCTTACCTTGCTCTATCGAATGATACCTTTGTCGAATGTACATACGCTAAGTTTCGAGAAATAGCAGATCTCGTCTTAAAATGTCCCAGAACTTTCGAACCCACCTAATACAAAGTCAAAGAGATGGCGCAGTAGTAAAATACAGGGTGTCCCAAAAGTAAGTACACACTTTACAATGTTAATATCTCTCTTCCCATTGTGTCTTTTTCCACCATTCAAGCACCATTCTTTAGAGGAGGCCACAGCTTAGATATACAGTATCGAGCGAATCATCGGTCGCTCTTCATGTAAGATTACTGTAGGAACTTCGACAAGGATTTTAGACCACTGGAAGCCATATTTTGCCTCGGAACAAAACCAAACAAGCCCCAAACTGTTATGCTATGGTAACGGAAGCCGATGATTTCGAATATGAGATTTCTACTTTATGATGCTTCTTTTCAAAGTTATCGAGGTAAACTAACCATCCCAGTATTTGTCAGAAACGTGATTACACCGTCAAAAAAGTGAAAACACCCGTAAAAAGTTGTGTAGTGGAATCAGAGTGCGCAAAAACCCTAGTGCACAATTTTTCAGATTTTTTGAAAAAATTGTCAAATGGCATATTTCACCGTGGTTCCATATGCTGGAAGTTCTTACCACAACCCTACAGTAATGAAGAGCGACCGATGATTCGATACTGTAAATCTAAGTTGAAGCCTCCTCTACAGAATGGTACTTGAATGGGAGAAAAAGACCCATTCGAAATAGAGACATTGACGATTGGTGTGTACTTACTTTTGGGACACCCTGTATATGTGCAGATTCATAAACTGATGATAAAGGGTCTTGTTCCTTTTGTTTGATTTTGCTTTGTGTTCTATCTTCAGCGACTTTTGTTTGAGCAGATATCCTATCTTGATACTTCAGGTAAGCATCTACAGACTACAAGAAACATGCTCTCTCGTTTCCAGTGAGCTTGCTTTCAAAAATGGGACTGCTCCTGACAGACTGGCATACAACCGCTGGATAAGATCCCGACCCGGGTTGTGTGGCTCAATTCCCCCCCCCACCCCTCCTCCCCCCGCAATATCATCTACTAGGCATAACATACGGCCCTACCAGTCAAAATGACTAACATATAGCAGCTATGACTTGATAATAACGGGCGAGAGTTGTTTACTCTGTCTGTGTATCAGCATGTAGGTAAACTGTGCAAAAGCACAAGTCGACCCGTTGCGCGGATCCACATGATTTCCCGCAGTCTGTTTGGCAAGTAAATGTGAACCCTTGACTTAGCTCAAGAAATGAGCAAAAATTCTGTTTTTCCGGTAGATCGGCGACAAAAAGGAATAATTGCATAATCGGTCAATTTGTCAAGGTCTTAACCAAGAATCTCAAAAGGGTTTTGCTCTCCTCCTCGAGTTTGAAGCTAAAAGCTAAAAAGATCTAACTGCTCATATCGGGATAAATCGTAAGTCCGTCCAAAAATATCCTACAAAATTCTTAACTATAATCGGTCAATTTGGTTAGAAACCAAGAAAACGAAGACTTTCTAGCTTTTACCAAAGTGATGCTGCACTGCTCCAGTTGGGTACAACAAACATGTAAGTACTAATTTTTCAACTCCCTACAAGCTCTAGCTTTAGAGAAATATGGATCATAGCGTGAGACACCCGACTAAAAGATACTATATTCGATATTTCTCGAGAACTGAAGCTTGTAGAGAGCGAAAATCTACATTTGCACTTTCACAGGGCTGTAGTGTACAAATACTCATGTGGGGAAGGCGCAGCACCACTTTAGCAAAATCATGAAAATTTTCGTTATTGGTTCCTAACCGAAGGAAAAATATTATATATAGACAAATGGCGCGAAAAATGTATATGCGAGCAAGCTAGAAACTTTGTAGGGTAATTTTGGAAGGAGCTACGATTTTTCCCGATTTTTCGAACAGTCAAACGTTTTAGTTTTTCGTTTGAAACTTGGGGTGGATTGAAGCTGGTAAAGCAAGAGCACCATCTCAAAGAGATTGCTTTGTCTATCGAATGACACTTTGGAATTTCTTCAAAGCTGAGAAGTGTAGACTGTAGACTTACTGCAGTTTAAATTTGCAGCGGACATTGATTTCCGAACAATCTGATACTTCTACCGCGAGTTTGAACTTTCGAATAGGAAGTTCTTTCAACATACAACAAAGATCAATGAGCATGATTCTGTCCGAACACATCGAAGCGCAAAACAGTAGGGACATATTTACTAACTATATCAAAGCAGATATCGGAAAATGCGTCATTCGCTAAGAAAGAGATTCAAAAGTCAGAACATCATCAAGTTAGCCTACGGAGATAATTACACGTTTGGTAAGTTGAAGCATGTCAAGATCAATTACTATAAATTATCGTTATTGTAACTGACACAATTAACTACCCGTGAAATCTACCACAGAAGAGTATGACAAGGAAAGATATTCCACCAAAAGCAGTGGATGCAACAAACATCTGTGAACCTTACGACAGATTGTTAGAATTTCAACTATCAAAAACAATGCAAAACAATTTAGAAAACCAGCCCACACGTAAGGCCTAGATGATGAGCAGGTGATATACGAAAGCGCTTGTTCAAGAGAGTACTATACTTTACAAATGCAAGCACAACCTCCGTTCAAAGATCAATGAAAGAACATGTTTTGTACTTGCTGGGGTTGAACAAAAGAAACTAAGGGTTAATATAATATACAATGTGATTAGAATATCTACATCATATGCAAAACAACAATCCCAACCACAACAAAGAAGGGGTACAGTTATACCTTTTGTTCTCAAGAACTTTTTCTTTCCAAAGTCATGATATCGGGCCAATGAAGGCTTGGCTGACTTCGACACAGCAGACTGATGTTGGTGTCCATTTCAACAGGAACCGTTTTGTCCTTCAAATCACCACTCAAAGTGACTTCCACACAACTTGTGTCCACCTGCATAATTCGAAGCACACGAAGGGCGATCTAAATTGAATGATTTTATGATATTCGATGCTACTCAGCACATAAACCATACCAGATGAACAGCCATGCGACGATGAAACACTCTTGGGAAGAAGCGGATATGGTACTGGCTATCGGCGCTTTCAATTGCAGAAAAAATTTCGGAGCGAATCTTGAATTGATAATAATGCATAAAAGAAGCGATTTCAGTCATACAGATCAATTTTATCCCCTGTTGACCCGATTAAGAGCCCTCAGAATAATGCTCGCCCGCTACGTCAATGCCCTTCCTCAAAATAGTCTTTTCAACCCGGAGTAGGCGGAACATTCGAGTGGAGCAGCGCGTCCGCAGCGCCACTGGCTCAGATTGGAGATAAATCAAAATGAAGAGACGCAGACTGCAGCGGTGCGGATAGTTGCGAAGCGGGTTCCTGCCAGTCCAAGAAATTATCCTTGATGTACCTTACAACCTAACTAGTTGGCAAACCCGGCTCCGCCCGGCCCTGTCAATAACATATTTGTAATCAGCATGCTCGATTATCCTCCTGTGCCAACTCCCAGCCCCGTAGCTCAAATTTTGCAAAAAATCGATAAAATCGATATCAATCGATAACGAAAAGTAGCCTATGACACGCTCCCTGCCCCGAAGTGTATGTGCGCCAAGTTTGGTCCAAATCGGTTCAGAAATAAAAATTTCTATTCAGCACATACGTACAGACATACAGACAGACAGACAGACAGACATTCAGCTTTATATATAAGATTGTCGACGATTGGAGTACAGGATACTTTTTACGCTTGCAAGGGAAAAAAACCCTTGGTCTACAGTAACACTTCATTCAAGTAAGTTTATCCCGCAACGAAGCAATTTATAAAATGCGCATTAATTCTGATTTCTTTAATTGAAACAGGTCTGCTGATGGTATAAGATTCATTAAAAGGCCTCCACCCGGTATTTTGAGCCATCCTACAAGAATCTTCGCCTTCTCTACACATGGATCGTAGCAGGAGCTGATGGAAGGGGGGCAAAAACATGCAAAAGATTTTCTTGAGTAAAACCTCGTGTCTATGTGTCTTCGAGAAAAAGAATTCAAAAACCCAACCTCGCCCCCCAAAAAGGTTCTCGGAGCACTGCAATATAATCATGGAGAACAACTAGATAGGCTAGAATACGACTTTGTCTCTAAGTTGTTGATGAAAGACCAATCAAGTAAAATGCAAATGAACGGCAGAAACTCAAATTTCTTCGCTTAGGAATGTTGCAGGCAAAAGCACAACAAGCAACTTCGCATTTCTTAATTGCTTCCTTGAACCTTTCATACATATTATGCCCATGGTTTAACCTTTTGAAGATTTCAGTCCTTTCCAAGATCTTGAATAATTGTGAGAACAGTTGAGTGGAACACACAACTGGAACTTGGCTGCTCAACTAAAACTGGTCAGTCAAAGGACGCCCAGATGGCGTCTTTATACATCGATCCTGACTCCACCATCCCCCATTTGTCATATCTCACCCCAAAAAAGCCTCTTTTTGAACTGTTTGGAAACTGTGCATGAAGCTAATAATTCAGGACAAAGAGCCAATGACAGAATATGCGCAGCTTAGAGTTTTCGAGCCAGTACCTTTGAAGTGCAGATTTTCCCCTTGAGCATGAATAAGTAAGACAACAAGAGCCTATAAAACTTAATCATGAAATGTAAGAGCTTTTATTCGTTATCAATTTATCGACTCTTAAATCCTCCACAACTTTGCGCTGCAACTTCCATACCTAACACGATGTCATTTCCATTCCTCTGCGGCACTCAAATGCAACCAAATAGCGTGGGATATAGAGGGAATGCAACTAATGATACTGGCTACCGTTTTATTCTGCAATCCCCACTCATGAGGTGATGTACGACTTTTCTACCCCAGATTTACCCAGGCACTGCCTTGAGGTTTGCACAATGTGATTGATTTACCTCGTTAAATTTCTCCTCGGAGAGAAGATCTGGCATTGCATTGGTAATCGAGACGCTGAACAAAGGGTCAACGGCATAGAGAGGATGCGGGAAGCAAGCAATGCCGTCTCGTTCGCGAGCATCATTCAAATATGATTTCGTCGCCTATAAATTGATATAAACAGAAATATTCTGGACGTACTAGGATTGATGAAAAATTTTAAAAAACATGCCTTGTAATACGGTATGTAATAGCGAGGACCAGGTGCACACGGATCTGGTCTGAACCAGTGAATGTCGGGTATGATCTCGCTAGTGGACGGGCACACTAAATCTGCGCGTAGTGGAGCGCGCTCCAATATTCCACGAGCATAGGCGGCATTTAGACTCTAGAATCGAGACAAAATTACTATACCGAAGCTGCTTACAGATCTTATACTTGATGAAACGGCGGCAAGATGTAGTCAATGCGTAAATTTTCAGTAAGTGGTGCAAGAATTTCCCGAAGTTCCGTCCCACTCAAGTCAGCCCGTTTCACACCTCGTCTGCTGATGGAATGCGATGTATCAGCCACAACATTTGGTTCACGTTCCTGAATTATCATGGTTGTCAAAAATCATATGTAGATAGCAGGCTCTTTAGAACTCAATGTCAAACTATAACACATAGCTACCTCCATGCGCCGTAGCAATTCATGTTCACCCCACCGCATGACGGCCTCAAGAAGCTCAACTTCCGTAGCCTAAAAATAAACGGAATACGGAGTAAAGTTAACCATGTTCTTTGCATAAAGTAAGCTCTCAAAACTTGAAAGATTTCAATTTGATCCAATTCGCTTATTAAAGGCAGCGTCCAGGCAGATCTGGACCTATGGGGCTTTCACGTGGAAAGTACTTTTGGGGCCCTAACTAAGGCACTGCCCAAGCGGCAGCTCAGGTAGTGCTGTAATGGCTGAGATTTTCTCCTCGAAACTGGACCCCACGACCGTGTTTCGCATGGATTCATGGTGCAAAGCGTGGATCCTGGCGCGAAACTGCCATGAATCCATGCGAATACGTTCGCGGGGGCCAGTTTCGAGGGGAATATCTCAGCCATTAAAGCACTACATGAGCTGCCGCTTGGGCAGTGCCTTAGTTAGGGCCCTAAAAGTACTTTCCACGTGAAAGCCCCGTAGGTCCAGATCTGTCTGGACGCTGCCTTTAAGTAAATGCCCAAGGCATTTGCAACACAACAATCACAAATATAAGGCCGGTATTTCTGGCTTAATCAACAATATCTATAACTCCAGAAATTCTTAGTTCTACTTTGCGGATATCGCCAAATGGATATGCTTTTCATTGAATACGAAAATATTTTGTGAGGTTCAACATGATGACAACCATAAAACAAGACGAAGTAAACCAAAAACATACCTGGATAAATTGACTTTGCACACATGTCTTGAGACTGTCTCGCGAAATATCGAATAAACAATGCGTCGAGGCAATCTGAGCGAACTCCGATTCCAAAAAGCTAAAAGTGCAAGATTTCTAAAATATATGACAACTCAAATGGATTACAAAGCTAAGGAATTTCTAAGTGTAAAAATGCAACATGCGTCTCGCATGTTTAGCAGAAAAAAAAAGCTGTCTTACCTCTGGGCCCGTTGAGCAACATACTGTGACCCTCCATCGACGGCCCAGCTAAGGATTGATACGCAACTTTCATTGCAAAGCGATGAAACGATAACATCTTCGCAGACTAAACTCAGCATTTCATCTGCACGACATCGTTTGTAGGATTCGAATAAACTTACGTTGTACAAGCTTCTCTAATGTGAAGAATTTGGCAATTTGTATAAGCTGTATAGCATGATGTAATGGAGAATGTAAAGCTCGTCCAGCAACAATAGCTCGCGCCTCTGACAGCGAAGACTGTGAATTTGTAGACTCGGGCACCTAGACGGGACTGGAAACTCATGACAAAAGAACATCAAAACACATCAGAAGCGTACCAGTGATAAGTCAAGCTCGTCTGTGTAAATGAAGTGGACGATAACAGCAGCAAAACCTCGAGGCAGCAATGCCTCGTCTAATACAATACTGTTCGCTTCTCCCACATGCTTGAGAAGTCCTCGAAAAACAGCACTTCTACATGCAATTACTGAGGAATCGCAACGTATGCAGTAGTCCGGTATGCGAGCTGAAATGGTTTTTATGTAGAAAAATTTCTTCGTAGAGTCTTTTTTGGAACACAGGTGAGGTATGAGTAGAAATTTCTACTTTTCATGTCAATTTATCGTCCTCCACACCCGTTTGAGTCAAATGTCATAGATTCTATTGAATGTCAAAGCAGTAAAGGCCCGAATTTGCAAATCGCGGCGTATCCTTCTCTTAGCTTCCAGTCCTTCTGGTAAACAATACAAAGCTACAACACCGCTCAAACGTACAGTGCCGCGGCAGTGCTAGAAGCATTTGTCGCCAAGTATGCATAGACGAGTCATCGTACGCAGAGACTCGACGTCTTTGCGTTCGAGTGAGAAAGTGCATGTTTGGGAGAGGCAGCAGACATAATACGATTGAAGTGCGTGTTTGATCTGAGAGACCCCAACGACGTCCGCAAAGATGCCCTGTCTCTGCGTACGATGAATCGTCTATAGATTTGAAAGCACGTGATTGAAAAAAGACGGTAGAATAAGACTGCTATCCTCCTACACGAGAAACTGGAGTCGGTTATTGTATAGAAAGAAGCCCCGTGATAGGCTGTACCGTGTGCGTTTCTCTACCGTATGCATTGTTTGAGTGTAGTATGGCAAGACTTTTGAACATAACCAACCTTTCACAGCATTTTCTTCCCCAGAGTTAGAAGAAGCAAGAATGATCTTGAGATCGCCGTCCTTCAGGGCCAGCTTTTCCGCATTACGTAAATCTGTGCTAAGCTCTCTATAGCATTTCAACCAATCGCGAAGGAACTGCAGAGCTTCTGTACTACCACTCCATGTTCCAGTGTATAAGAAGCGAATGAACATCCTATGCAAAATCACGATAAGGTACAAAAAACTACATCGAAGGAGAGTACTTCAACTCCTGCTCGGTAAGATGTCTACCACTGGGCGGTATCAGATGTAGCTCAAGCAGATCTTGACCGCTCAATAGTTCCTGTATCAAATCACATCTCGCAGTGGCCACACGACGATGAATGGGATATGCGACGTTCTTCAAAAAAAAAAAATACGGATATTAGTGAGGTTTGGAGTAGGGAACACCCACCTCAACGAACAAGACGATGTCTTTAGTGTCACTAGAGTACAACTGCTCTTCCAAACATATCACCTGAGGGCGAGCGTAGTCAGCCGCATTTTGCAATAATGAGAGAATTCTTGACGTCTCCAGCTCCTGCATAATGATATTTTCAAACACTTCACGATGCCAGTTATTTTCAATAGACAAGATTCATTATTCGTAGATCGTGGCATAATTTTATGATTTAGGGTTATTTTCTTCAGCCAAATCTTGGAAAGCGCCCTCTGTGTAGTATTCAAGTCATTACTGTCTACAAATTTTAGCCAGTCTTCACTGAATCGAGCTAATCCACACTAAAGCGTTGGTAGGGCTAAACTTATATGCAAGGTTAAAGAAGGTGACACCAAAGTGTTACTAACAATAAAAGGGACTGCGGCTTCGTTTTGCCTAGAGAAGATAAACAGATAATACCAAAGCGAAATTCAAACAAGTGTCCTATCAAAAATGTATCAACATATCACACTTAACAAAAAAGTGAGGGACTGCAAAGCATGAATTCATTTAGCTTACCCTGTACAAAGTTTCAATGTCATGTATCGGCCAAGACGAGATTAGATCACGAAACGACTTCACCTTCTCGCGACTCCCATTTTTACGCTGAAAAAAAATTAAATTGTTCTCAAAACAATGACATATCATGTGTTGACACACCCAAACTATGGAGATAAAGCGAATTTACAAATTATTTCAATACTTCGAAGTACTCAACCTATCGGAGATTCAAACTTAACTGTCGCCATTCGGTCTCTGCTGACAGACAAAAAATTATGCTTTTCCTCCGAAAAATTAGCCCAACAAATTATTTAACCTGCCGAGGAGTAGCTCTCAGATGCCAAGAACTAGCTATAGGCTAAAAACAAACCGGGTTTGCTAAACAATGCAATCACTTAGCATTCAAAGGCAGTGTCCGAGCAAAAGTCGATTTTGAGATTTTGAGCTTACCCGGGCCTATTCGCTACGCTGAATCCGAAAATCCACACTGAAGAGCGCAAAAACGGCGAAAAGGGGCTCTAAGGTGATGGAAATCACAAGGTGAGCGGGGTCTTCCTCACTGTGTACTCATGCTCCCAGATTCCGGAGCGAGCTTCTGGATTTCAATAACCGCCCTGACATCGCCACCGACCAAATGCAAACGCGTGCTTGAAACCAGAACCGAGCGCTTCGGAAGCTGGGAACATGAATTCACAGGGGGAAGACCCCGCCCCTGCTGATTCCACTCCTGCGTTAAAGCTCATTTTCGTCGTTTTCACACTCTACAGTGTGAATATGCAGATTCAGCATAACGAATAGGCCCGAGTAAGCACAAAATCTCAAATTTTTGTCCGGACACTGTCTTCAACGTCCACCAAGACCTGAGGCTGGTGAATTTTTGATGGGGTGCAATAGTGAGATTATCCACTAATCGTAAGTATGAGTCCCAGTCCCGCTTGAAGAGGATATTCCCGCAACGAGAGAGTCTATCAAGAAAGTACCTGCGGAACAGGTCACCACGCAACAAAGTGGGTGGTGTGAGGGTACATGAGTAAAATGAGTTCAAGGAGGAGCGTCTTTCCGACATCCCTAGGTACTCTGAAGCCCCGTCTCAAACTCATCACCTTTAGACATTCTACACTGGCGAGGACATCTCGGACATTTATGTGCCCTGCAAAACTTGGGATACCACTTACTTAGAGGAGTGCTACTGTATCACATCGAATCCCAATGACCCCCGATTTAGGTGGTTTTGGTTCCTGTAAACAAGCAATTTGAAAAGTTATCTGATCCAACTGACCGTCCGGGTTCCACCCTCCCCCCCCCCCTCTCCTCCTCCTCTACTAATAACACTGTGTTTGAAGTTGGGAACAGACTTATAATGTGCTTTCTAAGTCATGCATTACTGTTTACACCATACTGAGGCAAGAGTACAGCAGCTAAATGAACGACATTGTTAACCCCTACCTTGAAAGATAACTTCGACAAATGTTTGGACGATGACTGAGCAAGCGAGGCAAGTCGGCTTCTCGTTTTTGGTGTTCTCTGTTCAGCTGTTGGTTTGAGACGATCCAAATCGCCATGCGATCGGCTCTTCGTCCGTAATGAGGATGAGCCTCCACCCATGCAAAGCTGGACTCGCCTATAACAGAACATCGCCAATGTGCGTACAGAGAGTTTAAAGAACAGCAAATCCATCTGATACAAAAATGGCGATAGCATATAGCAAGAAAAAACGTACTTCAGCACAACACAAAAACTTAAGGCTCACAGAAACTTTGCCCTTTAGAAATGATATTATTCAAAAACCACAAAATCTTGTTTGTCAACTAATAGACTGTTTGTCAACCCTTTTTCATCAACTAACATCCCTGACTTCCGAAAAAATTTCAAGAAGGCCACTTTAAGCGCCGAGAGATCAACATTGAAAACATTTTAGGATGCTGCATAAAAACTCTTCATAAAAACCCTCTAAAATAATGTATTAATCACTCTGCACCCTCAGGTAGAGTATTTACTATTTATGGTCAAATAGGTAATGAATGTACGGATTGTGCATAGAAGAATCACTCAACCATTATGAAGCATACAGAAAGACCACAGATCAGATCTAGGTGAAAGCAGACAATATGAATACAGGTCGATTACGTTGGTAATTGCGTTTGATGCTGAATATCGTGAAATGCTTTACTTGTAGTCAAGAATAGAGATTACAGCTAGTGTGAACTCATGGAATCCAGTTTACAACGGCTGCCAGACACAAAAAGAATGAAGATGAATTCATATACGACCTCCGCATGGTCAGCGTTTCCTCAAAAGGGAGCGTCAGTGGTAAAGCTTCAATGACATGCAAACTAGCTTAAAGCAGAACATATATAGAAGTGGAAGTCTGAGAAATGAGGAAGCAGCTTAGAAACCCAAGCAAAAAGTTTGCAACTGCGACAAACATTATCTTGAATGGGAAAGGAGAGGATCGTGAGATGACGAGATAGATATGAGAGAACTTAAACAACGCGTTCTATGAGACTTCACCAGTTTTTGATTGAACCATAACATTGTGCAGCATCACTTCAGTACAGGAGTCTATTCACAAAAACAGGTCATAGCTATGGAACTTTTTTCAAGACTTGAAAGTAGCTTGCTTCCTGCAGTGCGCCACAAGTATAATTTATTCTATGACTAAGAGACTCGAAATCGCTTTGCACATATTGTCCAATTAAACATAACTTGTTATTTCCTGTTCCCAAATGGCAGATATTCCTAGATTGCTTAGAGCACAGGTACAAACTTGTTATCCCTGCGACCAAGCTTGTTTTGACAATGAGTGCAAAACGGTTTCGAGTCTCTTAGTCACATAATAAATGCTGCACGATTCAGTTCGATCCAACTTGGGTAAACAAAATAGTAAAGCCAGTGGGTAATGCAAACAGCTGATATGCTTTGACGAGCTGCCAAGTGGCGCGGTAACATCAAAAAGGTGCCGCGACGCGAGCAGCTCGCGCGACGCGCGTCCTACTAAAGGACGCATCGGTGACGCATCTCCTGCCAGCTTCTCGGCTGATATGATGATTTTTGTCGCGTCATTGCCTGACCTGTTATCAGCTTGATGTTGGCTGAGGTTCTTCCTTAACCTGCTTCAGTCTAACCCGTGGACCAGCTGATACTGCGAGCGTTCGTGTGAGGACCGCTGGCCGTTCTTGGTTTACTGTAGATTCACGTGGAATCTACGCTGGTCGTGACTGGGGCATGACCAATATCGATCGGGCAAAGTATCGTGTCATTCACTTGTGTGTTTGGTTTCTTGTTTTCTGACTCACTGAGGTCGCTCGCTCCGTCTCTCATCCCTATGCCGTGAAAGTCCGTTTCAAACCGACTATTTCGCAATTACTGCCATCGATTGCTTTTATGCTCAAAAAATCCATGTTTTCTTTGATTATATTTGCTTCCCAAGCAGATTAACATTGGTCTATGGTTCTTGTTTACGTTTCACTACATCATCACTTTGCCAACCAGGCTGGCACAATCGCCACTTGTTGCGTCTGGTTGGCTGTCCTTATATTTTGCTTTTCCCTCACGATTGTCTATCTCTGCGTTTTCACATTGCGCCTCTTTCAGTTTGGTTAGAATCGATTGATTGCAAAACGCAAATCCGATTTTAGGGTTTTCACAACCACACAGTAATAACAGAGGAGGATGGCGGCGATGAATCCGGAATAGTGAGTGCATTCATTCTTTCCTTTCACAGTTGTCATTCACATTCCAAATCATGCAATAGTAAAATATCTTTATTATCAAAGCTGTAATCCTATAATTGATGTTTAACGACCTGTGTATTCTGTACTTTGCATCCAGACATCACCCTTTTGTTTTTTCGCGATGACAGGACAGCAGCTGATGTTTGCGTCTACCTCGCCGATTAATCATCAAGGTTGAATTCGTTATAAGGTCGATGCTTGGTCTCCAAGCTTTGTTTGAGCCAATCTCATGGAGTTTCTCTCCCCTAGTATCGCGCAGCTCCTTGGACTGATCAAGTATTTGGTTTTTATGGGAAATGATCCCTTTCTGCTCAAAATTGTGGTCCTTTTACAAGTTTTGGTATCGTAGTCATCGTTATTTTGACTTGAAATCTTGGAAGTGCCGATTTGTTAAGAAAGGAGTTCAGGATTTTTGTTTTCCAAGGTGCTTCGAGCTATGCTCACAATAATTTTGCGACATCTCTAATTTCCTTCAACTTGTTGTTATATGTATTTGTTCGAGTATGTACAATTTTTTAATTGTTCGCGTTTGCGAGCTCAAACGTTTTCCACAATCAGAACTTGCGAAGCAGAAACATGAACTATCGTTTGTTTTCTGTAAATAGTGTAAGAAGTTATATCAGCTGCTGCAATCAGGTCATTGAAAATTCCGCAGAACACTTTAGTCGTGTTCCATCGCTAGGGTTAAATTTTTTTTCTACAACTCGGGTTGCCCCATACATCAAGATAAAGCGTTCAATCAAAACATAAGAAGCACGTATTTATTTGGTTTGAGGAATCAGTCTGCAGCTTGAGAAATGCATCATCACGCCAGCCATCTGCTGTTCGCTCTAATCGATAGTAATCCTTGTTTTCTCCTACTTTGTATAGAGTATGAGTTGCATCGCGAAATGTGCTACGTTTGTGAAGCACAGAAAATTAGAGAGGGGTTTTGTCAGGCCAAGTTCCACAAATGCCGTACTAAATATTAGGTTGGCTAAAAAATAAGTTCGGTCGTTTTTAGCGGTTTGTAGAATTGTGACAAATCAGTTTTCTTATGCATATATGGCACTGTTAGAAAGAGCAAATCACGGAGAATCGGATGGTTTACTCCGTTTTCTCAAAAATATATTTTCTGATGACGAAATGGTGCAGGAAAGAAAATTAGTCAGAATCCTCAAATCGAAAAATCACGCCTCGAAAAACGAACTGAAGTCAGGTGTAAAATGTAGATTCGCTACCTACACAACGAACTTTTGAATCTCCAAACATTTGCTTGTCCATAGATGGCCAAATACGAGTTACCTGGAATGCCCAAAATTTGACCTTCACGCGCAAATGCCAGGAAATTTTCGCAATTTTGGCTGCAGAAATTCAGAAACAGCAGGTCACAATCTCTATTGTGGTTCGCAACCTAACCAGGGGCTGTATGTATCCAACCACCAAATTACTCGCTGTGTAATCAGTGCAGGCTGAGAGCGAAAGTTAGAAAATCATAAAAGCGATCTTTTAGAAGTCTGGCCATATAAGGGTATAACAGTGATTTTTTAGTGACAGAAAATCTTGACTACTTGATATTTGAGAATAGAGGCTTGAAGCTATCTTTTCACCAAAAAGTCTTAGCTGTATGGCTGTTACTTGAATTGTTTTGAAGCTTTGAATTTTCATGTCAAACCGAACTTATTTATTAGCCAACCTAATAATTGTCAGGGCATTTTTAAGGATTTAGTTCGCGCTATAAGGGCCTTCTTAAACGCGAGTGCTGGTGTTTGTGTGTCACCAGCTCATGACTCGCGGCAAACTCGTATCATTTCCATACACTCTTTCTTTCTGTGCCGTTTCCGTTTCGGCTCCTTTTGTTTTCACAACGACAGCAAGTACCTGAAGTTTTTGACAAGCGTGGTATCTGGACAGGTTCGAGCTGTAGAACACAGATGCTCATTTTGAGTAGTTAGGAACCGCATCTTCCGAAACGACAAAATCTGTCTAGAAACCTGGGAGCCTTTTTCTATAGGACACGGCGGCTTTCCGTCCATGGGAATGTCATCGCTTCCAGATCTTTCCTGCTGCATTTGAGAAGGAACACGGAAAACGAGTTCTCTTGATTTTCGCGCTAGCGATAGAGTTGCGCGGTCTCCGCGACACGGCGGGTATGTGGCACTGAGAAGAACAGCCTCATCTAAATTTCGCATAATTTCGATTCCATAAGTTCGATTTCCGAGCCATAATGGAAGCTGATTCGTGAGATGTTTTGTCGAAAGGAGAGTCCAACTCATGCCTCAGTGAATTCTCACATTGAGCACGATTAGAGATTGTGAACATATCTTTCTGTGCTGTATCGCTTGGAATGTCCCAAGTTCATTCTTTCAGCGACTACCTCTTCAAACTTCTTCTTATCGGAGACTCCGGAGTGGGAAAGTCTTGTCTCCTGCTTCGATTTGCTGATGATACCTATACCGAATCATACATCTCTACCATTGGTGTAGACTTTGTAAGTTCTTTTTCCCTACTAACATCCTACTTGATCCAAATGTCATTTGCAGAAGATTCGCACGATTGAGTTAGATGGAAAGACCATCAAGTTGCAGATCGTGAGTTGTACTAACTATGTTTTTTCACATGTTGCTTGTTTGAGTGCGATATGATAGTGCAGCAGCGTGTAGAATATGTTTTTTGTTGGGGCGCGGAAGATGACCTTAGCGTTGTCATCGGCTTGGAGACTTGCTATTCATACATTTCAAATCATTTTTGTGAAAGCTCAAATTAATCTAACCTCGAAGTTGTTTCGGCAACAATTACTCTGAAAACTACTATAATTTGAAATCATAAACAAGTCGATTTATGACCATTTTTGACGTAAGTACTGTAAGTATAGATCAGAAAGTAATGAACTGTCTTGATTAAATTTTTTTGTCTGGCGTAGTTTCATACGTGGAACTGCTCATCAGCAGTGAATCAGCATTTGTGTGATGATATGACTTATCGTATCAGCAGTGCTGCGTCTTACAACTCGCTGAATAGCGTCGAAGAGTATTATGAAATTGCAGGGTATAATAGGTTTACCAAGTCTATTTTCTATTCTTTCTCTTTTTTTCGAAAACCTATTTTGTGATTTGGTCTGGTTAGGTTACTTCTGACCAGTTCGAAAAGACACGAAGAGCTGCATATTCTTTCGAATTTGTTAATGATAATGGTTTGAAAACATATTCTGCAAAAATATTAGTTTTCTAACAAGGGAACGATACTCGGTGTCCGTGGCCTTTTGAAGTGAGATGTATACCATTACACTCGTCTTGAAACGCTGATTCCAAATCTTACTTTCGTTTCTGCTAATCGCTTCAAAGATGTTATCATGGATCGCGCGGAGTTTGGCTGCCCAGTGAAAATAAGTCGGAGCGCCAATGGAATAGGTGCGCTGTGGTCTAGTGGTTAGTGCGATAGCCTCATGAGTTGATGCAGCTCTAGGTTTGAGTCCTTTTGTGTTTTTTAGTTTTGCGTTGCCTCAATTAACCTTCTTTCACATCCTCAAGTTAAGTGAACGCCCTTAATCTTGAAAAAAATGTGGAATTTTGGAAAATATGGCTACTGTTTGCGCTAAATTGTATTCAATAGTCATAATTCGAGTAAACTTTCTCGAACAATCTTAATTAAGGCAAAAGTAATGCACAAGTAAAAACGCAAAGGATTTGAACCTACATCAACTTATGAGGCTATCGCACTAACCATTAGACCAGAACGTGGTCGCAGTAGAAGCAATTTCAATGACCATATTTCCCTCAAGCGGCCAAACTTGGATCGAAATTCCTTCATAACTTCCTTCAGAGGAACGATTAGCAGAAACGGAAGCCAGATTCGGAATCAGCGTTCGAGAACGAGTGCAATGGTGTACACTCGTCTCAAAAAGCCACGGACATTGAGTATCGTTTCCTTGTAAGTTTCATAGGTACAAAGGCTAATATCCATTCTAGATCGTACCATCGAACCGTTGGGTTTGGGAACTGATGGTCATTCTTCCCGCTGCATGTTTTCCATTGGCTCGCTTTTGCCACCTCGCGGTCATGCTGCAGTAATAAAAACTGTGACACGCGTCAATGGCTTTATATGAAGTTTTTCGATAAGTTCTACGGTGAATGGGCTTAACTGAATGATTCTTGGAAACGTTGCTTTTCAAATAACGCTACTAAAATTTTTTGTTGATCATGTAATTGCTGAATTTAGCTCAGATTTTCTGCGTAAAGTTGCTTTCCTAACAAGGGAAAGATACTAACTTAGATTCGCCTTTTAAGATGAGACACATATATCTAGAACCAGTTTTCAACGCTGATTCCAAATATGCTGTTCCTAGCTGCTTAGCCTCATTCCGTAGCGAGTTATGGTCTCTTTTCTACGCAAGATGCTATGATGTCGACTTCTAGGTGGTTTAGCAATTGTATAATGCTCCCTTTTAAGATCGAAAGAATTAATATGATGCTAGTTTAACATCCTAGCACTCTTTTCGAGCAGGGTCTTATCTACACGCCGTCTTACGACATCTAGAAGTTTGTTAATTACTCACAACAGCAACCCCATCTCGCTCCGGAATAATGCTAAGCAGCTAGGGACAGCATTTTTGGAATCAGAGTTGAAAGCTGCTTCTAAATATATTTGTCTCATCTCAAAAGGTGAATCTAAGTTAGTATCCTTCCCTTGTAAGCTGTTTTCAAGTGTTGGCCACTGATGCGCTATAAATTGATTGTTGATGTTTTGCGTAGTCAATAGGCAAAATTTCGATATCAGCTTGTATTAGATGTATTATTTGAATATGCATTGTCGTTCGTTCGGCAACATCGAAGTATTGCATGTAACGTCTAATGTTTCCAGTAAGTCAAGGTGTTTTTGCAGTTTTAAGCTTAACTGAAAGCAAGTTGCAATAATGAATTTTGCGAATTTTTCTCCACTTGATCTGGTCTATCCGTTATTTCAGTGGGACACTGCTGGACAAGAACGTTTCCGCACTATCACGTCCAGTTACTATCGTGGTGCTCACGGAATAATTGTTGTGTACGATATCACTGACCAGGTAATCTTATCGCGCTTGTGTTGTGCATGCTCACAATATGGGTCTTACTTGTTTTCGTCATTTTCTATTTCGTCATGCATTCTTTCGTTCTCCCTTCGCTACGTAAAGGCCGCTGCATGACGAAGGTGCAGAAGTAGTGTTAGTTTAGCGGGCGCGAAGGCGGGTGTATCCTTAGGCGCCAAACTAAGCAATTATTTTGTTCAGCTGCAGAAGGCGTGCAGAACTAACGTTAAATCTGCGCAGGACTGCCTGCTTCAGCTGCAGGACCGCGCAAAATTAATGTTAATTCTGCGCGCCTTCTGCAGCTGAATAAACTCTTCGCTTAGTCTGGCGCCTACATCACCGTTGTAAATTTGCGCCTCATGCGCTCTGCGGCTAATAAAGCCGCGATCGCGCCCAAATGTATTGAGCCTTCGTCATGCAGCAACCTTTAGCTGGGCTTTTGTAAATGTCCTCAAGCTTTTTATGGCTTTGACGTTGATTTTAGGAGTCCTTCAATAACGTCAAGCAATGGCTTCAAGAAATTGATCGATATGCGTGCGAGAACGTCAACAAGTTGCTGGTTGGAAACAAATGTGATCTAACTGCAAAGAGAGCCGTGGAGACGCAAGCTGCTAAGGTAGTCATTAAAGGCCATTATGTGGTGTTAAAATGTTTGCATTTCAATACTTATCAAATTTTTGGAGCTTTTTTGCTCGATTTTTATTGAATTTTCTCATCCACTTGCATGGATGAATTATATGGCATAGCCATAGATGCTATGCTCATTATGAGGTAGTTTTTGTGAGTTCAGGATGTTGCCAACACCATATCGCCTCTTTCATCAATGTCACAAATTGGGGTGGTAATACAAAGCATTTTAAGGTGGTCAGCAGTCTGGGCGGGGCGGGCGTAGTATATAAGATATGCCGGAGTCATTTCATTATAATTTGTACCGGAGGCAGCGATCTTATAACGCTGACCATCTGCCTTCAGTTTTTCAAAGGACATCATAATTTCAAAATAAAAAATGCAAATAATCAAATGATTCTCCAAAGATTCCTTAGATTTATTTCTTTGAGATGAGATTATCGTCTTTTATTCGCTTGTGCTAATTGATAGCACTAAAATAAGTCAAATTAATGAACGCAACGCATTGAAAGTAGTTTTGATCTTGTAACATGCGTAATGTTAAAGACTTTTTCAAACTTGTTGTTACAGGAATATGCTGATCAGCTCGGGATTCCGTTCCTAGAAACATCTGCTAAATCTTCAACGAACGTAGAACAGGTAAGCGGCATGCCTTCTTGATATGTTTGGATTGTGTGATTGTTTTGTAATTGGAAAAGGATCCTCTGGTATTATTCATGAGTATCTGGTTCGAAGCGGAGATTATAAACCTCACGAGTTATATCTATCTTCCCTTTTTGCCAGTTTTCACGCGATGAGAATTTCTTAACTTTCTGTATGAGTACATCTCAAACCATTGCTCGATCAAGTAATCCTGCAAGAATTGATTTCTCGTTCGAAGAAAGAGGCTTTGCGGAACATAGTTTTGTAGTCATGCGCAATTGTTGATCATTATGTGGAGTTTTGTTGCAGTAGGTTTTCCTTACTTCTGATCACTTAGCGTGACGTGTCTTTGAAGCGAGCGTACATAGGTGCTTAGATTTCCATTAGAAATGTGAACGATGTAACAAACTTTACACATTTCAGGCTTTCTTGACTATGGCTTCGGAAATCAAATCACGCATGGGACCGGTGCAAGGTGCGGGTGGCGCGCCAGCAGTTCGTATCACGGGCTCTCAACCAGTACAGGACAAGAAGAGTGGTGGATGTTGCTAAACGAGAATGTGGGCAGGACCGAAATTGGAGCGCTGAACTTTCTTCTTCTTTTGTATTCATTCTCCGTGATTGCTAGGTTAACCTATTCATGGTCGCTGTTCATCTTCTCCATCTTCTTACATTCTTGTCCTAATTTATTCCTCCAATCTTGTGTTCAAGTGCCCTGTGGCACTGTCGCAGGCAGTGGGAATTTTGTACGTCAGTGGTTTACTTGTCTGCGTTCTTTTTTTTTTCTTCAAATCTTCTGATGTCCAGCTAGTTGGTAAATGTGTGGTTGGGATTATCTGGTGGCATCGTAGCTCCGTATTCACACAGCTATCACCGTAGTTGGCTCCTCTCTCATATTTAATTCTATAAATAGTCGCTCTTATAAATTTATAATACCCTGTTTTATCCACCGACTCTCCAATGAAATGTGATTTGTGATTGTGGTCCGAGGAATAAGCGTTGTGCTATGCTTTGTTGCGTGTGAGCTTTTGCCCTCGAATTGAATCCGATTTCCTTTAAAAATAAAGTTTAACAGATCAAAGTTCAACAGATTTCTTTGGAACTTTTAATGAAAGAATGAAGAATCCTTACTGTATTCAAGAAAGGTTTTTTCTCGCTTGTGCCAGTTTTGCTTTACAAGGGCAGCGGCTCAGCAAATTGGATCCTTGGCGGATCCCTGTAGGACTGGGCAGTAGATCCTCCCCCTTCCTCCTCCCCCCCCCCCCCCCACCCGGTTGTACTACCTGATACCACGGCAATCTGGCAAGCACCATTCTGCCGGGCGACTGGTTTCAGTGATAACAGCAGTTTTCAGCTGTAGCACCGGTATGGAGTCTATCACTCATCACACTGGGAATAAATGTATAGCTTGTCCGGAAAGTTCTGTTGCTTCATTTTTGGAAATTTATACCTTGCGCTATTTTGATGGGTCTGTCTCACGGTAATTTTTTTTATTGGAAAGAAGAAGTCCTTTGCTCTCGAGTACTATTTGCCGAGCTTCTACTACACACCCACCGACCAAATCTCGATCCAAAGATAAATTTCGTGGAATTTGTTGATGCGACTGAAACCGAATTTTTCATCAGGTAGTACATTTGAAAAAGCAGAATGCTCTTTTGAAACTTCCTTCCAGCCTTTTCCCAAATTTTCCTTTTCGAACCGGTCTTGCAGCTTTGGAGCTCGTTGTATGCTTGCTTTTTCCAACAGTGGTTAGAACAGGTTTCTAGGCATATCTCTTAAGTTTTACAAAAATTCAAATAGCCGCACTGCGACATTTTATTGCATTCAATTTTTTTTGGTTAGAATTTAGCGCAAACGAATGCATTTTTTTTTTGAAAAAGTTGTGTACAGTCGGGTAGATTTAGCGGTAAATATAGTGTGCTTGCACAGAAGGTGAAATGCGGTAAAATTGGCCCGTGAAGAAATAGTTTCGACTGTGACGCCGGCCAATTGCGCGCGCAAGATACCCGCGGTACTGACGTGGCTACTTGTTCACGCGCAAATTTCACCGCATTTCACCTTCTGTGCAAGCACACTATATTTACCGCTAAATCTGCTCGACTGTATGTAATGGAAGCGGTCTATATATTACTGTATTTGTATACACAGGGTGTCAAAAAAAAATGTGCGCACTATTTGATCGTTAATAACTTGCTTGCTTTGATGTCTTTAGTTAACTTTTAGGTTCTATCGTGTAGAGCGAGGTTCCTAAATTTACAGTATGGAGAGAAACATAGATCGCTTTTCGCTACTGTAGGATTACGGTAGGAACTTCGACAAAGATTTCAGGCCATTGGGGCCTATGATTTGCCTCGGAACAAAACAAACAAGTTAAAAACTTTCATATTAAAGTAATGAAGCTACTTTCTAGGATGTGAGATTTCCACTTTATTGTGATGCTTCTTTCCTAAGTTATCCCAGGTAAACCGTAATACCGTCCGAATTCCCAACATTTGTCAGAAATGTGGTTACACGTCAAAAAAGCTGAAAACACTCGTAAAAAGTTGTGTAGCGGAATCAGCCTGTGCAAAAACGCTAGTACAAGATTTTTCAGATTTTGAAAAATTTTCATCAGATGGCATATTTCACAATGGTTCCATATTCTGGAAGTTCTTACCGTAATCCTACAGTAATGAAGAGCAATCGATGATTCACTCCATACTGTAAATCTAAGTTTACGCTCTAAAAATGGTAGCTAAAGTTCAAAAGACATCGAAACAAGAAAGTTACTAGCGATCAAGCACTGTGCACATTTCTTGGGACGCCCTGTATATTTTGAAACTCGAAATCAACGTTTCAGAAGAGATAGAGTATGCAGCCATATTACGGCTCACGGCTTCTGGGCAATTGTCAAAGCTCCGTTCATTTCTACATCTGGAAACAGAAAAACTTGTTAACGCCTTTGCAAAAACAGCTATTCAGTGCATAAATGGAAAAATCTCATAATTTGGGACTTTGGAGCTTACTGAAAGAGACTCAAAAACCTGACAATTTTAAATTTTTATTTTTATCCGCTTATCTTTTGATGCAAGACACTTTAACTCGTACTTTTCTATGGCTTGCTTCTACAGTAAAGCCAAGTATAAGACATATTAACAAACCTCGAGGGGAGCTACAGGCTGTCAAAATGTTGTTCTTAGTAAAAATTATTTTTGTTTCACAGCATGCTTTTCTGGCCTCTTGCGATAAAAGCAGCAGTGAGTGTGCTAACAATAAGCGGCAAAAAATTTTCTGCATCTGATGGTATTTACCAAGAACATGATTTTTTTGACAAAGTTGTAGCTCGTCAAAATGAGAAAATTGTAAATGCAATGTGTCAATCGAGTAGTAGTATTTGTAAGGAACACGCATCCGCAGCGTGAGGCCCTTGCGTTGCGTTTTGCGACCGATGAAGCCAATCTGAACGCCCGTTTTATACGTCCCTAAACGTGGCGCAAAGCTTTCGCGTAGCGGTGCCGTCAACGAAAAAGGGAATCGGCCGTTGACACAGATTGTACACATTAATTTTGCGTCGACCCAAAAAGTTAAAGTGGCCTTTTTAATAGTGTTGGTATCGCATGATGGCGCAACCAGCAGTAACTTCCGAACAAATGATGGCTCAAAAGCGCTGTTGTTGAAATCTTCTACACTTCAGTAAAGAACTGCTCATTTTTTGTAAGAAATAATTTTCTGCTATCACTACAACCTTTGGGAATTTTTGGAACGTGCGTGATGTTATACAATGAATCCATTTGATGACAGTGCCCATGCTCGAAGCGCCATCAAGGAACGCCATTCTGTGATACATGACATTCTATATAATATGTTCCTCTCACAGCTTTACGGGCAATGTTATTCCATAGACAACAAAGACCTCATTTTGAAAGCTCCCACTTGAATCTGTGGTCCATATTACGTATGCTTGTGATTTTTTGAAGCATTTATTTCGATTTATTCAATTGTGGAATGGTAATTAATTCTGCCTTTTTGTCTTTGCATTATTTTCATTTTGTACTTTGCACCACAATTATGTTGGATAAGTGCTCTTGTCTTATTGTTATCTTACTGTTCGTTATCCTCCGAAATATGATTGCTCCTTCATATACAGGGTGTCCCAAAAAAATGTGAACACTGTTTGATCGTTAATAACTCCGTTGCTTTTATGTCTTCCGCCGAGCTTGAAGCGCCATTCTGTAGAGCGAGGTCCAACTTAGATTTGCGGCATGGAGCGAATCCCGATCGCTCTTCATTGCTGTAGGATTACGGTATGAACTTCTGGCATGTGGATCTATTGTGAAATATGCCATTTGACAAATTTCTTTTCAAAAAATCTGAAAAATCGTTTACTAAGGGTTTCGCGCACGCTGATTCCATAACGTACCTTTTAACGGGTGTTTTTAGCTTTTTTGACGGTGTAATCACATTCTTGACAAATGCTGGAAATTCGGTTATTAAGGTTTACCTGGGATAACCTCAGAAGAAAGCGTCACAGCGAAGTGAAAATTTCATATTCGAACTCAGCGGCTTCCATTACCCATGTATAAAAGTTTTTGGCTTGTTTGGTTTTGTTCCGAGGCAGAATATGGCTTTCAACGGCCTAAAATCCTTGTCAAAGTTCCTACCGTAATCCTACAGTAATGAAGAGCGATCGGCGACTCGCTCCATACTGTAGATTTAAGTTAGGCCTCGCTCTATAGAATGGTGCCTCAAACTCGGCGGAAGACATAAAAGCAAGGAAGTTATTAACGATCAAACAGTGTTCACATTTTTTTGGGACACCCTGTATTGCTAAAATTAAATCCCATCCACGCAAAACATAATTAGTTTTTGAGGAAAGTCTCTCAAAAAAAGATTGTAATCAAGAGTAGATAATCTTTTGAGATAAACGCAATTAAGGATGTCTCGCGAATTTTATTTCCGCTTGTAGGTAAAGTTGGTTGATTTAATTTGGGAAAAAACTGAATTTCAAAATCCGTCTCGTAATTGTGGTTTTATGGTCGGCCCTCATCAGCAAATCGTCTATGACTTTTCGCAGCTAGTCCTACGGCATTATAACATCAGATAATGATTTGGAGCGGTCAATTTTAATGCAACTTTGCTTCGAGGAACGTTTCGGAGGCTATGGAAAGGTCGAAAAACTCATGTATACTTTTTGATAAGCTTGTTATACAGTGCTGGACAGGGTAGGGGAACGAAAGCCGTCAGTTTGAACCGTCTTTCGCGGCTAACAGATCCTTTCGCAACGTTGTTGCATGTCGTTCCAGGACCAGCAGTCCGCGCAGGCGACCGAAGCTGGCGGCTTTCGTTCCCCCACCCTGCTGGACATAGTATAAAGCCACTCTAACAATTACTGTAATTTGCTATCCCTTGCTCATAATTGTTTGAAAAACCACTATTCTGTGCGCAAAATAACGTCATATCATTGGCCAGAACGGCTCCCAATTTCATTGATTTTGGCCGTAAAAAAATTGAAAAATTTGAGAAAACGGGTTCCGAAGGCTGGTCACAGCTATAAAGCCACCTTTCATTTTCAATCAGTGCTATGTTTTTTGAATCTGAAATTTTTTGTAAGTATACAACATCAAAATATTAAACATTTGTTACACTTGGAAGCAGTCGCCTTTTGAAAAGAAGATTCGTACTGCATATTTTGCTCTAAGATGCATAGAAAGTCACATCGTTTGCAAAAAACTGCTTTTTCACTGAATTTTGAAGCACTTGTTTGACTCGGATGAAGGTCCTAGGATTTGCCTGATAAAGGAGCCTCATCTTACCGAGGTGTAAGCGCGCTCCTGAGACGCAAAACTCGATTTCTGACGCGCGAAAACTTTTGGTCGGAAGTTGACACCATGTTTGCATGGCGACGCACTCATGCAGAAGCTGTCAGGTTTTTTGCAGAGACGTATATACCGCAATGAAGTTAGAACACTTTGTCTGCAGTTCGATTGTGCACAGTGTATCTCACATGACTTCAGATTTCACTGCTTTGAACTCCTCATCAAGTCAAATCTTACAGGACTGTCAAAAATACTAGAATTTTGAAGTTTTGAGCGATGCGA